TCAGATATATATAAAAATGTATAATAAAGTAAAGATAATTAAACCAGTGTAGAACTGGTTTCAGAACAGAGAGAACACGTGGATGGAATAAAATATCAAAAGGAACCCCCTAAAAATTATGTAGGAATTTAGTACATGATAAAGTCACATATTAAATGAGGATTTTTCAATTTGGAAAAGAATCATGTTAGATCTCTACCTCTGGCCCTTCTCAGCATATCTGGTTTGAGTCAAAAACTCTTAAGAAAATTACTGGCAGATTTTACTGCCCCCCCCAAAAAATGTAAAGGACATAGTGGAAAATGAAAAAAATAATAATTGAAACATATACAACCAAACAGGAGCTAATATACTTATACATAACAAGCAGTTTTGAATCGATAAGAAAAAAATGAACAGCATGACTAAAAAATAGAGCAAGTACACAGGGGGAGCAAATCACAAAAACAGAAAAAGAGATGAAAACAGATAAAAAATATATGAAAAAAGACATGAGAAAAGGTTCAACATCACTAATTATTTTTTAAAATGCAAACTAAGTATAACCAGCATGTAAGTTAAATTACTATGTAGAACTCAGAGAATGCGATCAGAAATCAACTGTAGTTCACCCTGCTACTCCTTACCCAAACCAAGTCTGTAAAGCTGCATCTTCTCATTACTCTACAATTAAAAAAAAAAAAGTTGTGTTGTGTTGTACTTCTAGTCATAGGAAATATATTGCTTTCAGTAACTAAAGTGTCCAAAACTGTGTAATAATCAAAAATTTGAATTTCATTTTTTAATTGAAGTATAGTTGATTTACAGTATTGTGTTAGTTTCTGGTGTGTAGCATAGTGATTCAGCTATACAGTTATATATATATATATATATTCTTTTCATATTCTTTTTCATTATAGGTTATTACGAGCTACTGAATGTAGTTCCCCATGCTCTGCAGTAGGACCTTGCTGTTTGAATTGCATTTAAAGGTACAGCTGCTCCCTTCTCCCAGCTCAGCCCTGCTCCAGCTAGAGAGAGAGTCGTGAAAACAAAATGGAGGCAAGGCAAGGGGTATCTGTTTCCTCACTTCCGCATTTACCAATCACTTAAGGTCTTTTCTGCCCCTGACCTCTCACCTCCGACCACTTTGCAATGGCTTACTGTCACAGCACCTGTTATGGGTTGACCTGTATCCTTCTCTCCCCCCAAAAAATGTGACTTGGAGTCCTAATCCCCAGCTCCACAAAATGCAGCCGTATTTGGAGAAAGAATCTTTACAGCGGATGTTAAGTTAAAATGAGGTCATCAAGGTGGGCCCTAATCCAACAGGACTAGCGTCCTAATGAGAAAGGAGGAATTTGGACACACAACAGATACACACAGAGAGAAAATAATAATGGAGAGACACAGGGAGAGGATGGCCATTTACCAGCCAAGCAGAGAGACCTGAACAGGTCCTTCCTCACAGCCCTCAGGAGAAACCAGCCCTGATGACACCCTTGATTTCACGCTTCTAACCTCCTGAACCGGGAAGCAATAAACTTCGGTTGTTAAAGCCACCCACTCCGGTGTGCTTTGTTACAGCACCCAACAGTATTGACTCGGATCCGGGTATAATTTAAAGTATACTCTCCACCTGAAACTAACACTGTAAATTGACTACAATTCAATTTTTTTAAAAAATAAGAATTTTAAAAATTTCAATTGTGCAAAATATCTGACCAAAACAAAGTATCTCTTCATTGCAGATAGACTCACCGCAGCCCCCTACTCTGATCCACAGGATGCTTTGATCAGCCTCCGAACACAGACTTCCCTAAGCATGTATCAACACCAGCCTCCTTCCAAGTGCAGCGAGCCCACACCAAGCTCTCTAAGTGGCCCTGACATGTCTCTCACTAAGACTGAAGGCGCACCCCATCCCTAGCTGGTGGGTAGAGGAGGTGAAACTCACAGTACACCAACTCTGTCCAAAGAAGTCTTTCTGCATTTTTCCAAGGCTTTTTACAGGATGAGAGTAGGTGGCTGAGAATTGCAAAGCCAGTTCCTACCAGCTCCTTTGGAAGTCCTGCCTGGGAGGCCCAGCACCTCACTCTGTCGTATGGGGATTACCACATACCTTGGGGCCTCAGGCAAAACTGAGTCAGAAGCAATTCTATTTTAAAATCCTGGCATAAACATAACATTGGAGGTGGAGAGGGTATAGCTCAGTGATAGGGTACATGGTTAGCATGCGTGAGGTCCTGGGTTCAATCCCTAGAACCTCCACTTAAAAGTAAATAAAACTAATTACCTCCTCCCCACTAAATAAATAAAAATTAAGTGATGTTATTCAAAAACAACATAACATTGGGTGTGGTTTTTCACCTTTTGTACTGGCAGAGCTCTAAAAGAATGACACCCTTTCTCAAAAAGGGTGTGGATAAACAGGCACTCTGACACAGTTGGTGAGGGCCAATTTTGCACAACCCTATAAAGTAAGATGATTTTAAATGAACGTCCCTTTGATCTGGTAATTTTTCTTTGGAATTTGCCCAAAAGAAATATCGAAACAGTACCAAAACGGTATGTATAATGATGTTTATTACAGCATGGTCTATAATAATAGACTTGTCAATAACTTGACTAAGCCACAGTTGGTAATCATGCATTATAGTGAAACCATTCATACGGATACCAGGGGTCTAGTCTGTGAATGCCAAGACAAAAGCATGAGCAACAGCTGGCATTGTTTCCTCTTCTTGGTCAAACAATTAGGAGTTGATCCATTCCTCGTGCCTGTTGACTTACATCATATGAAATGCTGGGCATAGCTCTCTTGTGAAACTTTAGTAACTCTCTAAGTTGGGACTGACTCTAGTTTAGCTTTAAAGCTCTGGAATATAGGGGGTGGGGTAAATTGGGGGTTCAGGATTTGCAGATACTAACTACTAAATATAAAATAGATAATCAACAAGGTCCTACTGTATAGCACAGGGAACTATATTCAATATCTTGTAATAGCCTATAATGAAAAAGAACATGAAAAGGAAGATAGATAGATAGATAGACAGACAGACAGACAGAGATATATATCTGAATCACTATGCTGTACACCAGAAACTAACAAAACAATGTACATCAACTATACTTCAGTTAAAAAGAATAAAAATAAAGATCTGGATTATGTGCAGACACATGAATTTTTCTTATGGCAAAAAGGTAGATGCTCAATAGACATTTGTGGAAAGAATGAAGACTTCTCTGTGTCTTGTTTCCACCACTCTAATCTACAAAATAGGATTCTAATAAGATAATCTGTGTGTAGATGAAAGCCTTTTGTAAACATCAGATGACTGCAATATTTCGTTATGGAGTTATTGGTACAAACGTATATAACGTACATTGCTTTCCGTTGTGGCAAAAAAGATGGTACTACTGCTCTCTTAGAAGAACTCTACACATCTGAAAGCTAAATTGATAAAGAAGCTAACATTAACTAGCCCCTCGAGAAGTTTTTGTGGAACTCCTGAAGTGAGGAAAGTCTTTGGTCATTTATTGCATTTTGATATTATGGTTAGAATCTGATATGTAAAAATCCATTCTTTTTATTAAAATGAGAGTGCGTGCGTGCACACACACACACACACACGTGCATGTATGTGCCATTTAGTCAACAACTAGAACTGGGACTGGGCTACAGTTTTCTGTTATCTCTTCATTTTAAAATAAGAAGATTAAAAACTGAGGTGCTAGATAATTTTTATACAGATGAGGAAAAAGTATAAATCCCAGTAGACAGAAGCCTGGATAATCCAGAAACAATGCCTCGTACCTGTGCTCTACTTTTTAAATTTTCAAAGTGCTCATAGAGCACTGATTCCCAAACTTGAGTAGGCATTAGAATCACTGGTGGAGCTAGTTCACAAGAGAATTCCTGAAAACCCCACCTTTAGAGTTACTTAGTAAGTGAAAATCAGCTATTTACATTTTTAACAAAGTCCTCAGGAAAATCTGAAGATTTTTGGGAGATTTTAGCAAACTCATGCCAATAAAAAGTCCATCAATGTTCTTATTCCAACTTTGCACCATACTAGCCATGTAGCAAATTATTTAATCCCTGAACTTCAGTTTCCTACAAATAGCTACCACTGAACTATCAGAAGATACATGTAAATAAAGAGCTGTGAGAAATTGAAGGAGGGGAAAATCATTTTCCATGATCAGGGAAGGCCTTAGGTCCATCCTTCGATTTTTCCGAACCCTTTATTTATACTTCTTATATCTCAGCGTTAGTTATTTGTATTCTCATATATTGTCCCTACATAAATTTAAATTCATTAAGAATGGAATCACTGTTTTTTTATATTTGTATCCTCCATTGTACTTAACACAACTCTTACACAGAAAAATAGACATTGTAGTTACTACTTAAATGTAAAACTCTGGGCTAATTTTTAGTTCTTTTACAATCAACAATGAGGTAGAAGTTTTGGGGCACCAAAAGACTTAGAGACCAATCAAAGAGTGATTATACTGCAGCTTTATTCTCCTTCCAAAACAGTAGTATCCAATATTCAGCTTGAGGTTTTTAAATGCCTGAGCACATGTGAATCTCTCACTTTTGATGGCGGGGAGTAGGGAGCACGAAAGAGCCAAGAATCCGACACAGTCAGACAGGGTGGGGGCAGTTTAACTTTAGAACTGCTCTTGGTACAGAAATGATTGGGTGCAATAAAATCCGCTAACTCTTCTGATAGTGATTCAGTGCGCAAATAATCAAGAGGTATGTGAAACTGTGGACAGGGAGAGTTCTCCCAGTAGCTTTGCGAGCAGGTTTTATTTGTTGCCATTTATGAAATTAATCCTTGGGGAAGACCACGCACGGATTTAGCATGATTTAAGTACAACAGACATCGGCCTCAATTGGTAAGCCCATTTGTGTCCTAGAATCTTGGGGAAAGATCCTCTCTCACTCTAAAATTTTAAAAAGGCCCATCAAAAACGAGCTGCCCAACATTCCCCCAGAATAAGTATACCTTTTTTCATTTTAAATTGAGATCGCTTACGATGTTGTCCATTCACTGGGGCCTCTGGAACCACACAGGCTGCGCTCAAATTCTGATTGTACTGTTTTCCTGCTGTGTGGCCCTCGGGATGGAATCTGGAAAGTGGGTGTAATGACTTAGTTATTGAACGAATTTCTTGGGAGGACTAAACGCAATGATGAGGTACTCAACGCCAGACACACTGCAAGCACCCAGTAAATGTTACGGCAATGGTAAGTCGGTCCTATTTCCCTAACGTCTTGGCGGGGTTGGGGAGTGGGAGGGTAGAGAAGCAGCTTAATGTAGTGAATAGTAAGAAACTAACTTGTCATGTGAACTCAGGCTTTCTCAGAGTGGTATTCCGCAGAGAAAACTCCTCGCCCTGCCTCTCTCATGTCTGGAAAGATCCCATATTGGACCGAGACCCCTCGACCGCCGAAGGGACTACCGGGCGTGACGCGCAGGCACCAGGCCGGAACCAAGGCCCCGAGGCTCCAGTTTCCTGCGCTCCCACCCGGACGCTCTGCGGGGTGGACCGGCGCGAACGCAATTTCCGGCCTGACCGAGCGGCGGCTGAAGCCGGTTCCGGGGTGGTTCCGGCACGCTGTGCTCGCTCCCTTCACGGGTCGAGGTGTCCGCTGCGGTCGCCGTAGGGAGCCCGGCGCGGCCGCACGCGCGTGACCATGTGGCGGCTGCTGGCTCGCGCCGGCGCGCCCCTCCTGCGAGCACCCTTGTCAGGTCAGGAGTCCCCATGGGCCCTCCAGGCCTCGCCTGCTTCCCTCCCCAGCCCCCGCCTGCTTCCCTCCCCAGCCCCCATCTGCAGACGGTTGCTGAAGCATCGCGGCGGGGGGCGGGGGGCTGCGCTTTGCTGCCGCCCCTCCCGCCGTGAGATTCGTGCAGAAGGGTCACAGCGCTCCTGCATTGTGCGGGTCGGCGCCCAGAGCCCCCAGCTGGTCTCTTTGGAGGGCCAGAGCCTGTGAGCCCCTGGAACCCGCGTCCCAAGCCCACAAGACACCTCGGTCAGGAGCGTCCTTGGCCCACAGCGTACGAGGCCCTGGCCTTGTCGCCTTCATCGTTTAACTTGATCTGTCTTTGTAGATTGTTGGGCAGCCCCGCCCGCCAGTGCTGGCCTAAAGACGCTGCTCCCGGTGCCAACTTTTGAAGGTGAGAGCTTATCTGCTGTTTTCGTATTTGTAAGCCTTTTCAGTGATGAAGCCCAGCAGAGGGCAGTTGAAGAGTAGGAGTGTTTTTGTGCCCCCGGTCCCCATTCACCAATTCAGTAAGTATATATTGAGGGCAGTGTTCTAAACGCTAGAGAAAAATCAAAGAACAAGAGACCCCAAAAGGCCCCTGATTTTAAGGAGCAAACGTGTAATGGAATATCTCCCCTATACCCTACCACTGGTGTGTGGTCCACAGCCCACCTCAAATTTAGACTTTTGATGTTTTCTCCAAATGAGGTTACAGATATGCAGTCATTTAACAGTATTATGTGAAAAGCATTAATTTGTTAGATATAAACATTTAAAGCAAGCTACAGTTTGGGGAATCTAATTCAGCATTTCCTTTTTTAATATATGGGAAATCTCAAAAGGGGGGGGTGCGGCTGGACCTCTGAGGGCCTTATCTTCTACACATAATTGTGAAACTGCTTCATGCTCTGCGGTCCATACAGACGTGAAGGCAAGAGAAAACATTACTAGGTTTCTCTGTAGCTACATATAGAAATGGGGAGGGGGAGGTGGTTTCTGTAACCCTTAAAGTCTCCTGTTTTATATTTGACTCCATCATAGAGTCATGCTTGTTTCACTATCAAAAATATTTAAATGACTTAAGATAATTTTTTCCCCATAATGTCTGATGTGATAAAGATGGAGCATTTGTAGCCTGCTCTCACCCAGCAAGCTGTTGCACATTGCAGGATATGGGCAAGTCTCAGCATGAAAAGCCCCTGAATATTTAAAGGAAAGAGCATTGATCAGAGGACTACTGGGTTGTAAGTTCCCAACAAGAATGTGGCAGAGCAGGAGAACTTAAATATTTTCATGTACAATATATTTTCGTGTACAATATATAATTCTTTCCACTAACCCTATTAACATCCAGAGAGGCAGTGTGGTGTCTTCTCTTAAGTGTCATACTGTCTGGCTTTGCTGTTTCAACTTGATGGCCCAGACTGAATTATAAAATGTCTCTAGGCCTGCAGTTCTTCTTCTATAAAATGCAGATTAAAAATACTACCTGCCTAATGTCCTGTTTCTTGGTCTGGATGATAGTTATGGGTGTGTTTATGTGTTCATTTTGTGATAATTCACATTTTTTTATTGGACCCTGTGATATATGGATGTTAAACTTTTAAAAGTTTGAACATTTTTAAAAGGCAGCCCAAAAAGAAATACCCAGGCAAAAAGTTGTTTTAAAGATTGAGTGAGATAATGCGTGTAAGGCATTCAGCTCAGTTCCAGCACTTAGGAGACATTCACCAGAAACTTGTTACCTAGTGTTATTTTGTGACAGTCATATCTCACTATCTTCCCTAACAGCCCCTTTTGTAATGTTAAGCACAGAGCAGGCATTTCATAAAAGCATTTTGGCTTGAAGGTTAAAACTTTGCTAAGATTCAGAAACATTTGCATCAACTACTGTCACAGCCAGAAACTTCCAGTGTCAATGAAAGTATCCACCCTATAAACCTAATGTACATTTGGAATTTTTGAGTAGTAACTTTAAGACTTTGATCTGATTGTGAAAAATATTTCTAGGAAGAAAATGAACCCTTTGAGGTGCATAGTTGGACTTATTCTTGGTTGTCTGTGCTCCTTTTAGATGTTTCCATTCCTGAAAAGCCCAAGCTTAGATTTGTTGAAAGGGTCCCACTTGTGCCAAAAGTGAGAAGAGAACGTAAGAACTTGAGTGACATACGGGGACCTTCCACCGAAGCCACCGAGTTCACAGAAGGCAATTTTGCCATCTTGGTGAGTTCAGCGTCCAGCAGATGAAAGCCAGGGACTAACAAAATAGACTCCTTGGGTTAATTCTAGGCTCTTCCTCCACGGGTTTTTCTAAGACAGCTGCTCTTCAAACTGATGTGCAGTACTCAGTAAGCATTTGGAGTCATAAATGGCTTTTGTTTTCTGCGGAGTGAAAATAATGTAAAAGCAAGAGAAGAAAAAGGCTACCTGATGTCCCCCATAAGCAGACCATGAGGTCTTCTCAAGCCTCCGGTCAAAATAAAACTATCCAGATTCAGTATGTGGAACACATATTTCCTCACTCAGCAAGTAGCTCCTACAGAGACTTGGTGTCAGTCAGGACACACGCGGCTATGGACTACTTTTTCTTTCCCATCAGGCAGCCAGAGGGACGTTTTCAAGCCCTCATCTCACAGCCTGCATGATTAGCCCCTGCCGACCTCTCAGAACCACAGTCTGTCCCCCATTCCTCTCCCTGCACTGCAGCCACACTGGCTTCTTCTCAGACTCATCAAGCCACTTGCTGTGCCAAGGCCTTCACGTATACCATTCCTCCACCTGGAACACTCACCTCTTCCGCCTTGGCCAGCTCCTACCTTCCTCCCCAGAGAGGTCTTCCAGCGAAGCGGGTCCACCCCTTGTCCCATTTGTTACTGTACGCGAGGCTTTTCCTCCATGGTACTTACTAGAACTTGTATTTTCAATGTCATGTGTATCACCGAGGCCTCAGTTGCTATAAAAGAATAGAGCCCACCAGGATGTGTACATCCCCGTGTTTCTAATTTTTCCATTTACTTTCAGGCACTGGGCGGTGGGTACCTCCACTGGGGCCATTTTGAAATGATACGCCTCACAGTCAACCGCGGCATGGACCCCAAGAACATGTTTGCCTTGTGGCGCGTGCCAGCCCCGTTCAAGGCCATCACCCGCAAGGGTATGGGGCAGCGCATGGGGGGCGGCAAAGGCGCCATCGATCACTACGTGACTCCCGTGAAGGCAGGCCGCCTCATAGTAGAGGTGGGCGGCCGCTGCGAATTTCAGGAGGTGCAAGGCTTCCTCGACCAGGTCGCCCACAAGCTGCCCTTCTCAGCGAAGGCCGTGAGCCGTGAGACTCTGGAGAAGATGCGGAAGGATCAAGAGGAACGGGGACGGAACAACCAGAACCCCTGGACCTTCGAGCGCGTCGCCGTGGCCAACATGCTGGGGACACGGAGAGTGCTGAGCCCTTACGACCTGACCCACAAGGGGCGGTACTGGGGCAAGTTCCACATGCCCGAACGCGTGTAGTCCGGACGGGAGGCGTCTTCGTCTTTCCTCCCGGGGCCAGTCCCTGCAGTCTTTGGGTAGCTCCCATGTCGCAACCATGGAGAAGCATACGTGTTTTCTGAAAAATATCACCTTATACTATGTGTTGATTTTTTTCTTAAGTGAATTATATTTATGTAATAAATAAATGAGCATGGCCTCAGGATGTAGCTTCTCTTTGGTCACTCACTCCCTTCAGTAAGAATCAGGCCTGACTGTTGGGAGCTCTGGTTCTCCCTGGCTGTAAGATGTCTTCAAGGCTGAAGCAGACGTTTGCATCTCCCACCTCTTCTACAAGTCAGACTTACTAATGTTTTTGGAAAAGCAAAGAAAAAAAAACAACAGTACAGAGGTTAACTGATTTACTGGATATTTATTTATGCCCAGCTACCCATCTTCTCTTAATCCCAGAAAGGGGGGTGTTGGACAACATGGCAAGAAACATGCGCTTCCTTGCCTTTTAGCGAAAGGAACTGATAAAAACAAAGCTGAAATTGATCTTTCCTAGGCCTGAAATCCTCTGCGGAGGGGTTGTTTTTGACTCATCTTTGTGTCCCTGCAGGTCCTAGCCCGGTGCAGCATGCCACATGACACTCATAGTAATTGCTGAATGAACAAGGACACTGCGTGATTCAAATCCCCGTGGTTCCAGCTCTCTGTCTTCCTTTCACAAAATTAATCTATTTTTCAGAGCTAGCCAGCCATGGTTTCTATCCTGTATTTAAACTAAAGGAAGTATAGAATGATAGAAATATTAAACATTTGCTTTGAAAGTGGGTAGAAAACAGCACACTGACTAAAATGTCTTTTTTTTGAAAATCCCACTTTCTTAAAAAGTAAGATCTCCAGCAAAGGAAATAGCTTACTTTCAAAAGGACAAGTTTATCCTGAGCAGTTATGCGGCCCTCAGGAAATGTATACTGTGCTTTTTAATATATTTCTAGTGAACCTCTTGTAATATGATTAACTACTGAATTGAATTAGAACACATCTGAACCTTGGGGACAGTTTGGAACAGTTTCTTGTGCACACGTTGCTGGCCAACAAAGTCAGTTTCAGCTGGCAACATGAATCAGCAAGAAGTGACGAGTGACAGCCTTATTTCACCTTCTGACCTAACACTGTGACCTCTTGTTAGGGCTCAAAGAGCGTGGACGATACTGACTGGGGCATTCATTCAATCACAGCATAAAACGTTCTTTTGTTTTGGGTCCACGTTTTGTTACTGAGCCACAATCCTGGGTCTGGCCATCTTCGCAGAGTAAAAGGCTATTGACAGAACTCTGTTATTAGCTCCCACAGAAAAAGGACTTGGAAGTGTATGTGGTGGTTTAGGGGGCCTGTTGTCTTTTTGTATGGGTGGATCAACCCCTTCCCAGGCATTTTTACACAGCCTCTGACACTAACAAACCATTTCCCACTGACGCCTTTAAAGGCTTAAGAGTCAAATCCAAGGACTCATCTAATTACAAATAATTAAGTGAGCAGATAGTTGAGCGGCAGTAAGTGGCAGGCGCTGTGCTGAGCACCGGGGACACAGCAGTGAGGGAGACAGCATGGTGCCCACCTTAGACATCTACCGTAGAGGCGTGGACCCTGAACGAGGAAGGAGATGTCGGGCTGGTTCAGAGGAGACCTAGAACTGCAAGGGGAAGGAACGAGTGCCCTGACCTTGACCCTGACCCTGGCCTGGGCCCAAGAAACCGCGGGTGCTCCAGTCCCTGCCTCCTCCCAGCCGTGATGGCAGCGTGGGCTTCTGTGTTTCCTAAACAGGAACCTGTAAAGCTTCCTCTGCCCTGCCGCCTCCTCCTCCAACCATCTTCCCAACCAGCCAGAGCGCTGTACCCCCTGTTCCTTCACCCCCGCCTGCACCCAAGTCCAGGTTTCACAAAGCTCCCTTTGCGTAACTGAGTTGGTAGATGGCTGGTGTCCTGTGTCATAAGAGGTTTCAGAGCGGAAAGAAGAGAAGCTGTTGAGCAGTCTGCAGTGGAGAGGCAATGGCACCAGAGGTGGGAGGAGGGTACAAGTGCCAGCTGAGGATCCACCTGCGAGGGCTGAAGGGTGACACAAACGGAGAGAGTCACAGATTATTCAGCAAAATGCTGGCGGCCAGGACCACCACGCCCTTCTACAGGGGGGAGAGGGGCCGCCCACAGGGCTGCAGAAACGTGTCCTCGCCTCGTAAGGGAAGAAGCGATTTACTCGGGTTCACCGTGGCCCTCTTCCAAAGAGTTCAGGGTGCTTCTAAGGCAGTAACTAACTTTCTCCTTCAGCCACTCCCCACGTGACAAGCCCCATGTTTTGCTGCAGGAAATCGACACCCTTACACAAAGCTTTCTGAAAAACTTCTGCCACCAGACCTAGTTAGGGCACAGGTCTCCACCTTTCGTCTCCCCACCTACCTACTACCGACTCAGTCTTCACTCATTCTTCTCTCTGTGAAACACCTCTTTGCTTGCTTTTCCCCAACCTTTATCAATCGCAGCACAACCCATCCAGATGAGGGCACCAAGTGACAAACACTGCCCTCAGGACGCAAGAGTCCTCAGGGCGTGGAAACAGGCCCGACCCTCCCCACAGATGGCTCACCTTTCGTTTCTTCAGGCAAATATGCCCCCGATAGTGGAAGCTAAGATGATGGCAAGGATAACACAGCAGATCATGATCAAGATCTTCTTCTGCTCGTCCAGACAAGGAGAGAAAAAGCAGGTGAGAAACGACATCACTGCAGAGTGTCCCAAAGGCAAGGAGACAGAGCTGGGTCTGGACATGGACGAGGGTGTGACGGGAACAGGAGATGGATCTGGCTTCTAGAACCCAGAATGCTAACAGAAGTTCATTTCTCGGTGAGGGAATCAAACACCAGACCGACAGGAATCTCAGGACGTTTGGTGCGCCGTTTCGCCTTCCAGATAGCATCACATCAGACTGACCCCCATCTCCCTCGGGGGCCGGGTATTCTCAGTGAGTAAGCCAAAGTCTTTGGGGGCCAGCCCTTGAAATCTAAAACTCAGACACAGTCACACCGCATTCTTTGAGAGTTAAACCACCTTCAAAAATCAGAATTTCTGATCCCTCTGACCTAAACGCATGGTTAAAAAAATGTAACCCCTTTCCAAAACCTAAACAAAACCCAACGCAGGGTGGCAGCCAATCACTGTGTCACAGGGAAATAGAGCCAGAACTGTTTCACGATCAATATAAAGTCATTTATTTTTAAATTAGCAATAAAATAATCAAGTTTACATTTAAAAAATACAAACAACAAAAAAAGCCTTCACTTGTATTCCAATCTAGAACCCAGGCCTCCATCTCCAGAGAGCAAAGGTCTGTGATTGGAGCTTGTCTGCCCTCACTGCTGGAGCCAGGCCTGTGTCCGACATCATAGCCGCGGGCAAGAGGGGGTGCCCTTGGCTCTGTCCGAGTGCTGGCAGTGGCTGAGAGTCAGTGGCCTTTGCATAGGAAGCTGATGGGCTGTGCATGGATTAGGGTGCTCACCCTCACCCTATCCTAGAAAGCATGTGAGTCAGAGCTGAAATATCAATCAGGAGGCAGACAGCAGCAGAATCAAAGGGGCTCACCACTGGCTCCACACAGTCACTACACTTGAAAACTTCCTGGCTGCTGTCTCCTGCATGACAAGAACTGGGGGTGACAAAATCGGCCGAGCTCAGTAACCTAGCAGCAGGAAGAGCTACTGAGCAGTCCTTGGCCTCCCCCAGCTGACTCAGTTCTGGAGCCAAGACATCCCAAAGGTCACGTGAATGAGATCAAATGGCTGCGGGATGCGCTCCAGACAAGCCCAGCCCGGGCAGCAGGTGGGAGAGGCGGCCAGCTGGTCACACCTTCCGACTGCTAAGCAGAAAACCCAATGGGGATCAACCTAGTCCTCACCCCACCCACCCAGGATTCTCCCAGCGCTTGTGCAGAAAACAGCGGGTCTCTAGGTGACGTGGGGAGGTCACGTTTCTACTAGGATTCACTTGCAGGTAAGCAGATGTCTCCTACCTCATTTTTAGCACAGCTCAAGTTATGTTTTTTGAGGTTATAATATCCTCTACTTCCAGGTTCCTCCTTCCTGAGAGACACATGCATATATGTCCATACACCTCACACACACGATTATAAGCATTCGCTTGGAACACACGCAATGACTGAATACTCATAATCGCACCGGTCTGAAACATGTCCAGAGCCTGAGGCTCAAGCACCTTGTCCCTGGCCTAATTTTAAGTGCCTGGTTATTTCTGGCCTCAAGGCAGCGGCTTCGCAAAGCATCACGCTAATGGTAAACAGCCAGTTCCCACGGCTGAGACATGGAAACCATATCCCGCAGCCTCAGGCTCTCCAATTGTAGCCTCAGACAGATGATGATATCATGGTGGCGCACCCCTGAATAAACATGAGGGAATACAACACAGACAGATCAAAGTTGCCCATCCAGCTGTACACACTAAGAGCTTAATTTAAGGCTGCATTTCAGACAAGAAGTCAGCTCCAAAGACCAAAACAGCATCGGTCAGTCCCCCCGATTTTCAGGACAGGGATCCTGCCGGGCGGAGACTCAGAGCCAAGCCTTACTGCTGCCAAACTTGGAAGAATCCCTTTGCTTTGTTAAAGGTGCTCCCCTAAAAAATGAAAATTAAAAAATTGCAATTTGGGGGAGAAGACTACTCCATGAGGTAGAAACAGCACCTTGGGAAGGTCTCAGACGGGCTTTCCAAGGTGTAAGGCATAATTTGACACGTCAGAGGGAAGAAGGAGAGGCTGGGTTGGTTCATACAGTCTGGGAGAAGGTTCAGAGGAGGACTCAGGGTCGCAGCAGGCAGACTGGATTCCTCCAGGGCTAGACTGTGTGCTGGGTCAGGTCCAAGGATGGTTACAAGGAAACAAAGGAACGGGTCCCACTCTCTCTCAGGAAGGCCATTCCCGCTCCGTTCCCATCTGAAGACAAGGGTGGCCAGGCCAGGCTGGAGCAGAATCGGGTTCTACAAGAGGCAGGGGGAGGAGGAGCTGGTCACTGCTCAGGGTGACGGTGAAGAGCGACAGTGAATCAGCCACACACCTAGAAGGCGGAGAGGAAAGATCAGAAGTAACTGCAGAAAGTCAACACAGAGCCTGAGGAACCCGGCAGGCACACCCACGACAGGACCTGGAATGAACTATCCCACTGTGCCAGGAACAGAAAGCCCTGTTACAAGAGGGGGGAGAATTAGGAAAACCCCTGGGTCTTCGACAGCCCTTCACAGGGGAAGGACTCGTTGAGGGGGCACAATCACTGGTGGAAAACACCTGTTCTCTTGGTGGGGTCACGGCACAGCTGCTCTGACTTGTGAGCTATGCGGGTTCTGGGCAAGTTTCTCATTTTGTTGAGCTTTTGAGCTTCCCCAGTGACAACGTGGATGATGAGGATGTTACGCTAGAGCGGTCGCTGGTGCACAACTGGGGAGCGCAAACGTAGGCTGGCTCCCTTCCCTCCTGTTCCGAGAGCTCTCTCCCTCAGGTCACACGGCGGGAGAGAGGAGTCCAGGCCAACATGCCCGTTACTCTGGACTTCATTAGGGAATAAGGAAGATACTGTGGTAAGCGACCCACCAGAGCCCAGCACTGAGCGTCCTGGAGACGAGGTAAGTCAACTAAAAACAACGCATGAAGCAGTCTCCTCATTTTAAAAAGTGAGTCACCCACATTCTGAATTCCTAGAGTCAGGAATGGTAAGGGGCACTATGAATTTGGAAGACATCATTCATCCAAGGATATGGAAAAGATATTGACTATTATAACTTCTCTTAATGTTAACATCCTTTCCAACGGGATAGTTAAGGGTCAGAACAAAACACTACAAGCCAAAAAACACCAAGCATGAGAGTCCAAATGCCGGGGAAAAAAGAACCAATCACTTAATGTTCTGTGAGAGATCGATCCCTCACCGCTGCTTATGTCTCAAGAAGTTGAATGTTCAGGGTTATAATAATCTGACTTTCAAACCCTCTAGTCATATGGCAGGAGGAGGAAGGAAGAGGCACAAAAGAAAGTGAAGGATCAGCTCTGTATCACGTCTTTGTATCTGTTACCTCCATAACCCAACTTCTATGACTTTGTAACAGGAAAAACCAGAATGAGAAAGATACTATATAAATTATACTGTTAGTCCTGGCAAAAACAGTAATAACAAACCTCCAATATTGGAGACACATTAAAGAATTGACAGTACAGTCACAATCTTGTCTTGAAAATTAGATTTATAAAGAGATGTAGGTGATGTGGACTGATGTGTATGATTTTATAAAAGGGTACAAAACTGAAGTCTGACTGATGTGAAACCATGTGTGCGTGGGCAAACATGCCGCGAGGCTATCTGCAATAATTTTAAAAGTTAATTCTGTTCACCTTTTCTGTATTTTATAGGTCCTTTATTTCCAACAATACATGTTATGATTTTTCAGGAAAATAATACTTAGGAAGTCACAGAAGTCTTAACAGTCCCCGTAACTAGGTCATGCTACTGCTCTATGTGTGAAACCCTGAATCAGTGCCCAGCTCTACTCTTTTCACCAGATTTTCAAGAAGTTACTATCCTAAATTTTAAAGCCAGTGTCCTCTAAGGTTCTCTAGACTCTGTAGACAATGAGAAGTGGCTACCTTGTTTTACTGTCACTTCTCTCTAAGCCTGAGTGTCTTCATCTGTAAAACGGGGACAATGACAAGTGTTGAGAGGATTCAATGATACGTGGATAAGGTGTTTAGGAACTGCCTGGCACAACTCCACACTCAAAAACGTTAGCTGCTCTACCATTCGAGATCCAACCAGTCAGCCACAAACAAAAGCCCTGCAGACCCAGAGCCCAATTCGAAGCTTCGTTTACACTGAAAAGGACGTGGAAGACAAAGCCCAGCACCCCCGAAAGCCAGTCAGAGCTAAGACCAACCCCAGATCCCAGTCGCTGACTGTCCCCAGCTCGGGAGCGTGCTCGCCAGGGAGGGCAGTGAACATGAGGCGCTCAGAAAAGCAGGCACGGTGGGGAAACATGTTACAGGACAAGGAGTGGGGACAGAGCCCGAAGGAGAACAAGCAGCAGACCCAACCCCGGTGCTGCAGCCAGAACCCGAGAGCAGGATGCCACAGAGAGGAAAGAATGCACGGTACAGAATGTTCTAGAGAACCCAGCGTGTCCGTGGAATCCACAGCGGCAAGAAGCAGAATGTGAAGCCACAGGCTAGATTCCCAAGAGGAGCCAATCCAAAGCCAGTCCCCGAGAACCTTCCACGTACTTACATTTCAGCGCAGTGGCCTCGCAGGCCGCCCTTACTTCAGACCAACGGAAAGTCCAATAATCAACGCTACAATGCCCAGCAACACAACCACTACTACAATGATAATTATCAATTTCTGGAGAGGGGGATAAGAGAAACAAAAACAGGTCATTATTACCAACAACCAAACGGCCCTAAGAAGTCATCCAAACCACCCCCTCAAAGCCTCTACACAGGCAGCATCTTTCCAAATAAAAAGCCGACATCGCTACGTAAAGACGTTCCATGAGGACATGTTACTTGTCTCAAGTTACTTCTGGGCGAGCAAGGCCAGCGGTGGAAATACGGAGTTTCCATCAGCTCTCAGCTCACACACGTGGACAGAGCAACTATCACCAGGTCTCCGAGCAGCGACGGGCCAAGATACAAAGTCACTGCTTGTTCCTTTTCAAGGACTGCAGAGACATTTTTGACATCATCCTACTTTCAAACTTCTGCCCATCTCCTCCCCAAAGTACACCCCCACCTGTCAGACCCAGCACAGTGACCAGGGGTTAGAGAGCAAGATTAAGGTCCCCTTGCGAACCAGCCCAGATTCATCACATAAAATAACTCCCCAGCTCCCTGGATACCTGCACCCGCCACAGGCAGAGTTGGAAGAAAAAGAAAGAACTGAAGAACAAATCTATCAGATCCCAAGAGAAATAGAAAAGAGCAGGCTGAAAAAAGCACAAACCACCAGTGTGGACGACCACAGCCGCTGGGTAGAGGAGCTCAGAAGTCCTCAAGCAAAGGGGGCACCAGCACAAGGGGGCAGGGGCGGGCAGTGGAGATGGTGTGATGGAAAGAGCCTGATTGAAATCTGAATTTGAATCTGGGGTCCTATGCCTACTAAGTGGCCTGAAGCCAGTGACTTAACCTCTGATTCTCAACTGTTTCATCTGTAAAGTAGAAACAACAGGTGCTCCAAGAGACCAGAGA